ATCTGTTCCACTGGTCCTCAGGTCTGTTTCTTTGCCAGTACCATGCTGTTTTTATCACAGTAGCTTTGTAGTATAGTTTCAAGTTGGGGGTTGTGATACCCCTGCCATGTCTGTTTCCCAGAATTGCTTTTGCTATTCCAGGTCTCTTCTTGTTCCAAATGAATTTTTGGATTGTTTTCTCAAGGTCTGTGAAGTATACTGCTGGGATTTCAATTGGGATTGCATGGAATCTCTATAGCAGTTTTGGAAGTATGGCCATTTTCAATATGTTGATCCTTCCTACCCAGGAGCAAGGGATGTCTTTCCAGTTTCTGTAATCATCTTCAATCTCTCTTTTCAGAGTGCTATAGTTTTCAGAAAAGAGGTCTTTGATTTCTTTTGTCAGGTTGATTCCTAGGTGTTTCAGTTTTTTGGATGCTATTGTGAAAGGGTTTGCCCTATTTCTGTCTCAGCGAGTCTGTTGTTCCTGTAGAGGAAAGATACTGATTTTTGTGTGTTGACCTTGTATCCAGCTACTCTACTGAATTTGGTTATTAAGTCTAGAAGACTTTTCATGGCATTCTTGGGGTCTTCTATATAGAGTATCATGTCATCTGCAAATAATGACAATTTGACTTCATTTCCTATCTTTATTCCTATTACTTTTTCTTGTCTAATCACTGCAGAAGGTATTTAAGGATCATAGAATGGTAGGCATGTGAGGGACATTCCAGAGCATGTTGTCTCAGACATTCATGGTGCAGGTCAGGAATCTAAAACCAAAAGAGAGTGAAGAGTTCACTGTTGCAGGGACAGAGCTGAGAAAGCAGGTAGTCCTGAGAGGAAGGAGCAACAAGGGGATGGATAGGGCTAAGAAAGTGGGAAGGAAGGGAGGGAGGGAGGGAGGGAGGGAAGGAGAAAGAAAAAGAGAAGGAGGAGGAGGAGAAAAGGAATAAAACCCCAAAACTAGAAAGGGTAGATAGTACAAGGAACAAAGAAGAGAAGGAAAGGAGGTGGCCATAGGTTTTAAGCCCTTGCTAACCTTGTGAACTTGAGAATAGACAACATAGGGTCCTCAGGGAGACCTCTGAAATTAGAAAATCAAGATATTTAAGGGCATAATCTAAATATTTACCTGTTCTTGTCTGCTTAGAAATGAAGTTTCTAGAAAGAGAAGACAATATGGCAGGATGATCCTCCAGGAGCTGTGAAGGATGGAGGCTCTCCTTTTTATTTTTGATGTCGATGGATACAATGAAAGCCTTTCATGTGGATTCGTGCTTTTGCCCCTGGTTGGAAATTAAATGACAGATGAACTGGTGGATATGCTTGTTTGTGCCTCAAATTCCTCTAACAGCTCCTTTCTGAATACTTATTGGGCTTTTCTCTTAAAATATCACTAGAGAAAATGCTAAATATGCATTAGTACTTTAGGGAAACTCAAACGGTCTCATTTCATAGAAAGGCCCAGAAAGGATTTATAACTACAGTAAGTCCCCAAGTTACGAGCAAATTCCTTTCTAGGAGAAGGTTCATATGTCAGATTTGTTTGTAAGTCTGACAAAGTGAGTCTTATACATCTTTGACACAAATATACCATGTATATTGCTTTGTACTTCCTGGCAGTCCCCTCTGCATCACTGCTGCTTTTCCTCTTGCTTCTGGGCATCCTGGACTCTGACTGAGCACTGTACTGCTGTACACTGTCACACTGTATGGTCAGCACACAGCAGCACAACCGTGACAATGTCCTATAGACACATGAGCTACTTCCACTATTCACATCTACAAATGTTCATAATGTGAGGTTCATTCGTATCAGTGAAAGCTCACAACTGCAATGTTTTTAAGTCAGGGATTTACTGTAGCCCATAGTTAAGAAGAATGCGTGTGCTCTGGAGAAATCCAGTCCCTGTGAGAACCAGCAGCAACATGCTGTGAGACTAAAGAAAGAGGTGGACATATTCAGGTTAGTGTGGAGTGCCATTTAGTCGGGACTTATGGAACAGTGTGTCTTGGGTGGTAGTAAAACAGGTAGATCCTTGTGATTTAAGTCAAAGAAAGGGAGCTTCTATGATGGGTAAAAGTGACTTCATCCAAGCTGGAATGTACCTGGTTTCCCTCAAAGTAAAAGGCACAATCTAATTCTCCTCCTCTTTAATCTGGTTGTTCTCACAACTTGCTTTACTCTATAGAATGAAGTAAAAATGACTTTCTAAATCTTCAAAACTCAGTTTAAGTTCCTTTCTCTTGGAAGCCAGATAACACAGAAGAAATCTGACCACCTTGCTATAAGAAAGCCCAAGCCAGCCACATGGAAGGAAAAAGACTGAGATGCTTGATGTATGAGTAAAGGCTTGCAGGACCTTCCAGCTGCATGCAGTCCACAGCGTGACCTTAGCCAGCGCTCAGCTGAGCTTAGCTGATCCACAGTCAACAAGAAAAAAGTAAATGGTTGGTGTCTTTTGGCTACTAAGTTTTAGAGTGATTTGTTACACAGCAATAGATGCCTGGACCACTGCCTTATGCCATCCACCATTTATTATTTGTTGTCAGGAGTCTCTATGGCTGGGTGCATGGTGTGTTGATCTGGATCAAGCCTGGCTGGTATCATTTAGACTTGCTTGTGCCTCTGAAGTCAGCTGAGGGCTGGCTGGTCAAGGAGGACCTCAGCTCTGGTGATTCAGCTCTGCTGCACAGGGTCTTTCCTCCTCCAGCAGGCTCATTCTCTGGGTGATGGCAGAATTCCAAGAGCAGATGCAGAAGTACGCATTTTTCAAGATTTCAGTTACATCAAGCCTGCTAGTCTCCCACTGGTCAGAATAAACCATATAGGTGAGCCCAGAGCAGGAGGGAACCACAGTTAAAGGGGAAGACCCTGGGTAAAGACCCTGGATAAAGGAAAGTCATTAACTGGGGACCATTATTGCTATCAAATCTACTATAAGAAATTCATGCATGTAAGGGTTGTACTACACAGCAGTATTAAGATTCTGGACTAAGAACTGGAAAAATCACATTTGAAATTAAGTAAAATAAGTAGATGAGCATTTTCTGATTTTCAAATAGGTTCTCAGAATTTCTGGCCAAGTCACTATTGCTAGTGACATTGATATTGTCTTCTTTCCAACAGAGGAGTGACTTTCCCAATTTTCTATTGATAGAGCTAAAGATAGAATCAGGAAGAAAGTTGGATCTCACACCACAGGGTTTCTCATTCTACCATTTAATTCACAGTAATGATACAATCTTAAGGCTCTTGTAGAGTTTCTGAGAATCCTGCTTCATAGCCCTGTGAATGGCCCATGGGCAGTGTTCTTTGTGATTTCTCTTTGGAAACCTAAGGTGGTGTTAACACCAAGCCATGGGAAAGGACTGCGTACAGATGTATGTGTTTGTGTACTTATATGTGTGCGGCCACCCTGGAGCCTCTCTGATTTCACTGAAGTTTCCACCTCCCCTCAATTACCAGGAACTGATGTTGTACTTTTACTTACCGCCACTTTTCTGGCAAGTGAATTCATTTTCCACTCCTTGAATTTCAGAGAAGTCTGAGCAAGGGAGGAGAGAATGGGATTACCCGGGCCAGATCCCATGCTAGCCTGCTGCTTACAGCAGTGTGGTGCTGCCCCCTACACAGGCTCCACATCAGTTGAGTCGTTCTTCCATCTTTGTTTTCCGTGGACTCTTCTACTGATCCTATGTCGAATCTTGTTAGTCCAGTGTTTTGGCTCAGAAACTTGGAGTCAAGGAAACCATGTTCAGGTCCACTGGTCACTTAACATCTTTGGACCTTAGTTTTCAAGTCTGTAAAGTAAGCAAACTGGACTAGAAAGATATATGTCCCTGCTCAGAGCTTTAAAGAGTTGGGTAAAAGTAGACACAAGTCAGAGTCCTGAGAAAATGATAACCTAAATCTTCATTAATAACCACCAGACACACCTGGAAGAAGAAAGCTGGGAAAGCAGGTCAACAAATATTGGATATTTGTCTTATTAGTTATGCCTCAATAAAGCTTTAAAAAGTAGTATTATTTTGTTATCAAGGAATGATTGCACTCCATTCCATGTTGGGAAATGGGAAAAGATTTCAAAACCAAAAAGAGGTGCTTTTGTGAAGAGACTAAGGGGGGTATCTTTTAGTTCACCACACTAGGGATATTTGACAATAAGGATCACGAAATGCTAGTCTTCCTCGGACAGAATACATCCCACGTTTTCCACCAGTGCTAGTGTTTTGTTTTATTAAAGAAGGGGAAAAGCGGAAGGAAGTAATGAGACTGAGAAACACCACTTGCTTTGATTCGGCTAAACGGGATCCGCTCAGTTTCTAATTAAGTGAATTTAGCTTTGGCGTCCCCGTCAGCATTTTTTCTATAGTTAGCCGAGTAGATCTGGCTCCTACTCTTTTCACAGCTAGCCCGACAGCATGTGACATTACAAGTGCCCCCAGGCCAGCGGAGCTGTCCGTAGGCTTTGGGCCCCGCCCTTCTATTACAGCGCGCTCGCGCGGGATGCCCTACACAGCCTTCTCCTGGGACCCCTCGCCAACGTATCCTTACCTGTTGGACAAGTCTTACTTCTGCGAACATCTGCTGTCTCTAGAAAGGGAGCAGCCTCGAAATCCTGGCCTGTCCCTTCCTGGTGGAGGACACCCGTCTTGAAGTACGGGCTTCGCCACAAACAGCAGAGTCCAGCGGGCGGACGATCAGGAGGATCAGTTCCAGTGGCCTGAGAAGGGGGACGCCCTGTCCCAAACAGCCCAGTTCGGCTGGACACAGATTCTGAGAACCGCCAGAAGCCCCTGTCTAGCCCTGGAGCCTTGAAGGAACCGGCAAATTCCAGGGCCGGCCCCAGCCCTGCTCTCCGTCCCGGACACGCGGCAGCTGGACAGGGCGCCCGGTGCGGCTGCAGCGGAGCCTCCCGCCGCCGTCGCCGCTGTAAACCGGTCCGGCTTCCCTGCAGGGCGAGCAGGGATGGAGCGAGGGGGTGGAGAGAAAAGGGGAAGAGCCTGGGCGGCCGGCGGGCGGGGCCTGCAGCCTCCCGGAGACGCACAGCCTGCTCTCTCCGCGCCTCGCTCCGACTCCCGCGCGCACTGCGCGGACACCGGCGCGCGAGCCCGGGGCGTTGCTACTCCTCGGCCTCCGCTCCCCGAACTCGCCTCGCAGAGGTTGCGCCCGGGCGTGGGGCCGCCGCCTGCTGCTCGGTCTGACCGTTGGACTGGCGGGGAAGGAAGGGGAAATCGGGGACACGCATACTCGCCGCGGCGCGCGCGCATTGCACGCTCGCAGCCGCGCGCCCCCGGTGAGGCGCGTCCGGGGCGAGTTTGGCCCCGCGGCTCCGGCGCGGCACCTGCCCGCCCCCTCCCGCGGCCCCCGGCCCCACCCCCACCCCTGGCTGCGCTGCTGTCCCTTCGTCTGGGGGGAAGAGACAACATCCCGACAACTTGCAGGCTGTGGCGCAACTGGTCTCGACAGCGGAGGCTCCCGAATGCTGCCCGGGTGAGGTAAGTTTCCGGCGCGTCCCCAGCCCCTCCACTCGCCCCCTCTCAGCGCCCAGCTCCTGGGGGCTCCGCGTCTCTGAGGGGACCTGACGGTCTCTGCTCTGCCACTGCCTGTCGGCGCTGTGCTGGGGGTGACGTGGAGGGGGCGCGCGTGGCCACCGAAGCGGGACCTTCCTTCCCCGGGGCCACAGCTGCGCGCTCCCCGTGGGCACCACGGGCCCGCCACCCCCATCCCTCGGGCCGCGGTGACACTTCGCAGTGACTCTGAGCTCACTTGAGCACAAGCCCCCTCCCATTATCGGGAGACCAGGCGAGAGTTTGGCAGCAGAAGAAGCGATCTCACCACTCTCCCTGGTACTAAAAGCGAAGAACTTGATAGGCGCCCCTGGGATCTCAAGAGGGGATTTTGCAGGTCGGTGTTCTGGTCTTTTCTGGTGCTGAAGCCGGATTGAACAGGTGCGGTATGTTCCAGCCTAAACGCAACCGCCAACTTCTGCATTTCCCCGCGCTCTCCCCCAGCCCAGTCAACGTGACGCTTCAACATCTGGGCGGGTGGTGGGAGTGTGGGACGGTCTCGAGGGAGCATGCCCGGGGTTGCTTTGCCGTGCTGGTGTCAGGAGTCGCTCGAACTGAAGACGACAAATGTCTGCTTATCTCTCATCTATGCAGATGAGTATGTTGTCAGTACATCCCACCCCCCAGCTCTTTGTCTCTGGTGCCCAGCAAGGTTGGGTTAGAAAGCTGTTCCAGAGAAGTTGTTTGGATAGGTTGGATAGAATTTTTTATCTAATCTACTGAAAGGGCTCCAAACGAGGGAAAGCTAGTTACTTTGATGTTTTTTCAAGGGAGTGTATGGCAGACTAAAAATAACACCCCCTACCATTGCTTCTTGAAGACCTTCTACACCTGCTGGAGGCACTGGCTTTAAGGTGAATGACCCCTAAGGGTCCGGTGGGGTGGGGAGACTCAGAATGTGTTAATCTCCAGCAAGGAAGGAGTGATCCCCCCTCAGTATTCCTTACCATAGGTTTGGGGAACCCCTTTTGTCCCTCTAGTGAATTGCATCCATTCACAGACTTCCCTGTGATTCAGTGGCGATGCTGAAGTGTTTTGCAGTTGTTGGAGTGGTCAGAAGTCAAAGAATTGGTTTCATTAGCGCTTCAATGTCATGAATTAAATAGTGTTCATGGAAGCTTTTGTTTTGTTTCCAGCTGAAAGGAACCCCTGGAAAAAACCCTGTCATCTGTATAGTGTCACTGTGAGTTGCTGTTCACATTTTACAGATGGGGAAACTAAGATCTAGACACGTGATGGGTGTTTTCCGTGGTATCACGTCTAATTTAGTGATGTTTACAAGACCAGAACTCAGTTCTTGATGTCTTGTTCATTGTGTGTTGTAGTCTACCATTGTCCAACTTCTGCTAGTGAAGAGGACACACAATGGATGTGGCAATAGACCAGGCACTGCTAAGTATGCTGGCTGGTGAGCTGGGTTCCAGTTCTGGTACTCCTACTACATTTGGGCTAGATCACCTCACCTCAAAGTCTAAATATGTATATATGTATATATGTATATATGCATGTACCTCAAAGTCTAAATATATATATGTATATATGTATATATGCATGTATATACATATACCTCAAAGTCTAAATATATATATGCATATATGTATGTATATGTATATATTTCATGTTACATTGTTTCCTTTTCCAGTTTTAGCATTCTGTAATGATGGCCAATGTGTTCACAACCCAATGGTGTCACTTTCTTTAGGAGAAAGTAAGCTCTTTACCTTCTCCCAACTAAGGGATTTGGCTAATTACCTATTCTACCTTTAATTTACTACTCTTCACTTTCACCACATACCACTTAATGAAGGGAAGGAAAATTATAGTGGGCTTTAGCTCAGCATCTATGTTGTTTAGTATTTCTGTTTTACTTGAAAATACTGAGAAGCTGAAGTACTACTGTAAGGTAAATGTTGGTTGAATACTGTGACAGTAAACTCATACCGTTATTTTTTTTAGCTTTATAGTTTGCAAATAGTTAAGTATCCCCCAAACAATTGCTGAATTAATGAAGGGGATGAAAGAAATAATTCGTAAGGAAAATGTAGGCTGGAAAACATAGCATCTGATGGTGTCAATTCCCCATATATAAGATAATTTGTCTATAAGAAGTGTGGCTTGTGGTGCCAGCAGGTGGAAGAGCCCGCTGTGGCTCTTTTCCATGAGCACAAAATATAAAGAAGAGTTTTTCTTTCTCCTTATGTACAGTAGACTTATGTCATCTGTGTCATGCTCTTTTGTTTGTCTCTACCCTTTTAGTTGTTAGTAGTGTATAGCTGGCTAAATTCATAGAAATTGTCTTGTGCCATTTTACCAAAGAGTACATCTCAAGATGAAGAAGCCACTTTCTCTAAAATATAGTATTGAATGAATTTCAGCAGATCTTGATATTGGCCTGTGGTTTCTGAGCAGGAAATTAATTAACAAAACCAACCTAGTTTCTGTTCCCTTTAAAAAATCCTCTTCGCCTTCCAGTCCTCTTTTATATTTGGAGAAAAGCCATGATTTTTACCTATGGGAGAATGATGACAAAGAGTACATTAGACCTTAAGTATCATTAACAGATCCTACCATTTATCTTGGGAACCAAGATATGTTTCCTTCTGATAAAAAATGCAAATATTGACTTGTTTAGAGACACACCTTTAATAGGATAGAAAACTGAAACCTAGGGAGTAAACTGACTTATTTATAGTTATGCAGGTAATAGTAGGCGGGCTAGGGTTAATGTGAAATTCTGACAGATTTATATTCAAGGTTATATTAGGAGCTCTATGAAGAAGATACGGTTTTTACTTTTAAAGAATATAAAGGTTAACAAGAAACTGCTAGTAGTTATTAGAGAGTAGGTATATTTTAAAATATTTTAGTATTTCTATTTTTAAATTTTCTCATCCAAGTAAATACTGTTAAGGAGAAAATGTCCATTCTCATGTATTCACTATGATTCTCTTGGCTTATATATATCAGCAGACTCAAAATTAATGCTTTGCTCCAACCAGAGCTTGAAGAGAGGGAATTATTTGAATATAAACACAAATGTATGCTGGTTTTCTAAGCTTCTTTTCCTGGTAAATAAAGCCAGAAACTAAAAGTGGCCCAGTCATCCACCCAGTAAAGTCATAAATATGTATACATTTACTTTGCATTTGCATTTTGCTTGTACTTCTGTTAAATGGCGAGTCAGAACATTTACTATCCTAGAAAAATATTTTTTCTATGGCTATAGCCTTTATTAGAGTTACCCTGTGAAACACTAAGTCCTAAATGTATTTGTTACAGAAACATTTTCTCTTTGTATCAAGTGCATTGACTGGAGTTGGTAGGAGTCCATTAATTTTTTTTAGAAGCTGCCCAGTTAGAACTGTACATTATGTAGCTGAGCTGTTCATTTATGGTCTTATCTATGGAGCAGGATGTGTTTCTTCTAAAAGCCAGGGAAATTGGGAGGAAGGAAACCTAGCATTTGATTTTATGTAGTTTTCTTCTTTCATTTTACCAAATCAACTTTAAGCTTAATTTATTGGTGAAATGGGGAGGGGGGCTATGTCCTAAACAATTGGCTGTCACTGATGAAGAGTTTTATTCAGCCAGGTCCTTTCAAAATGAAAGATTAAGCCATGGAAAACAGGCTTGATGTTGTACATTTTATTTTCATTTCTGTCTTCTCTTGTGTAGCTCTATCAGAAGTGTAGAGATGACCACACAAGAAAACACGTGACTATTACCCAAATTAGGTTACTCTTGGAATATATGAAACAAAGTGACTGACATGGTTGTTTGTTCTATCAGCTGACAGTGTCTTGATATTGTCATTTTAAGTTAAACTCATACTTGAATGAACAACCACATGAAGTGTGTGTTCTTCTTGTAGCAAGCCTTTTGTATTGTTTATGGGACTCAATAAACAATGGATATGTACTATGTTTGGGGGAGTTTACATAATGAGTGAATAGTAAGTTCATCAGACTCATTTTCTCTAATATATTTAGAAAATCAGTTGTGAAATTGCAATGAAATATGAAGCATTGGTCCCACTCTAAAAAATGAGTGTGTATGTCTTTCATTGGCGGTTTAGGCAAGGATTGGAATTGCGACTGCCGGGAGCCTAGGGAATTTAATTACCTTGAAATGGAACTAAATTTCAGAGGCAGGACTGCAAAAAGTTGTTCTACTTTGTTAGAAAAAAAGTAATATTTAAGCTTTCTGTACTCAGTAATGCTGAATAAGGAGTTTAGGGAGGAGGTTAAAGTTATGGTTAACAAAAAATAATATTTTTTTGCTTCATAGATTGGCAGAAGAAATGAAATGGATTCAACATGTTGCACGATGGGTTTTTAACATTTAATACACACTTTAAAATGTTTTTTAAACTGTGCCTACCATCATGATCACTTAGTCATAACATTTGGTAATAAAGGGTAATAAAGAAAAGAGAGCAGTAACAACTAAAAAGAAATACTATTACCTCCTTGAGGAAATAGGAAGTACATCATAGATAGTTAACAAATATTTCTCAGGGGTAGAGGTTATGCATCATGTTTTCTTAATATTTGTATTCTTGTAAATTACCACTATAGCAAGAGGAGAGGATTTAATAAATGTGCACTGAGCAATTTATGCATCCAGATTAATATTACTCTTCAAAATCTTGAGATGTTCCTTAATTATTCGAATAATTCTATTTTCTGAACCATTTTAGAAATGTCAGACACAATGAGAGTTTCAATAGTTTATACTGGTTCTTTTTAAAATTTAGACTTTTCTGTTACTGGGACAAAATACCTGACACCCTCAACTTAAAAGAGAGGTTTGTTTGGCTCACAGTTTCTAGTGGGTCCAGTCCAGAGTTGGCTGATTCCAAGGCAGAAACAGCATGGGGGAAGAGCCTGGTAGAGGAACAGCTGCTCACTCCAACAGCTGGGAAGCAG